AACCGGGCGTGGACGTGGTGGGCGAAGGCGTAGGAGCAGACTTCTTGTCCTTCTTGTACCGGGAAACAGCGCGTACAGCTGTAGGGGGAGCTCGGATGGCAGAGGTGGCACACCTAGCAGCCTCATAGGAGCGACATATCGTCAACACATCCTGAAGAGAGGAGGAAGAGTCGAGGGAGGTGAGGCGTTGGACAAGTTCCTCGTCCTTAACACCCATCAGGATCACCTGCTTCAACTGGGTCTCCTCGCACTGCTGGTGGTGGCCTAAACATATATCTACCTCTTCCGAGGCTCTCTTAAGACGTACATAAAAAGCGTCAAAAGACTCACCCTCCTCCATCTGTCTGCAGCTAAACAATTCCCTCCTGCGCAGAGCTTCATTCTGCTGTCCTTTGATGTGCCGTTGTAGAACGTCCAGTACCTCCTCTACAGACAGCTAAGAGGTTGGGGGTACCTGCAACGTATGTTCTAAGACACGCTGAACTTCCAAGGACAGGCACATACGCAGCTGGATGAGTTGTTTAGGCTGTGACAAACTCTGGAGATCCACCATTGTAGCATAATCAGCCCACCGCCGCCGCCATTCGCGAAAAGTCTGGAAATTTACATCAGGCTCCAAGATGGGCGGCGTTTGAGCTGCTGCTTTAGGTGGGGCTGGGGGGCGTGAAGGAAGCATGGATGAGGTATCTGAACCATTCAGTACCGAGGCAGTGTTAGAGCCAGGGGCTTGGTTAACAGTGAGGCGAGATATCAAGGCTTCAAACCGTGCACTGTCTTCCATTCTCCGTTGGTGGTCTTGTTCTGCCTCTGCTTGCCTTCTGTGCTCATCCGCCAAACGTCTGTGAGCTTCATCCTCGCGTCTCTCATCTCTCATAAACTTCATTAAGGCAATTATCTCTGGAGATAACGCTGAATGTTGAGGTGAAGGGTTGCGCGATGTTGTGGGAGCTGGGCCGGCCTGGTCATCCATCTCTGGGGGACTATCATCCGCTTGACTCATCCAGGCGCTGGGTCCACGGCTACGTAAGGCATGAGACATAACTACTTTATCTGTGTACTGTGTCTTAAATCAGTGTTGACCGGTCAGCCCGTCGTATCAACAAGATTTCAGACAAAAAATTTAATTAAATACACAGGTAAGTAGGTTATATATATAAAATATATATAAGAAACCGCGCGGTCAGCAAGTGTTAGTATGTGTGTGTGTCCCAGGCAGGCAGCGTCTCGCCCCAGCTGTGAGGGGGGGTGGAGGCGGCGCTGTGAGGGAGGTGGGTGGAGATAGGAGTAGCTCAGTCGCTCTCTGTAAACGGTCAGAGGAGGGTGCGCTGAGCTCTACACCCCACAAATGCCCAGAACATGCCGTATACCTTGGAAATCCGTTCGAACAAGGTCACACATGAATGGCACGAAACACACAATGCACTAAACACTTCACAGAAAATCACTGTCACTGACACTGCTCAAAGTTGCGAAATTCTTCGAGGGATGACGCGGGGTTGACCCAAGGCGGGATCCATCAGCCGGCTTTCCACAAACTTGCACTAATCACTCGTAATAATCCAGTAAAACTACGCACTGCGCCATGTTAGATGTTCTGGGCAATAAGTTCTATATACAGGAGAGAACACAAACACCTGTATAGTTTTGTAGGTTCGGTTTACTGGATAAGAGTATGTACACAGAGGTGGATAGCACTGCTCCCTAGCTAAGGTCCGGTCAACTACCATAGACGATGGCAAGTGATACATTAGCAGCTTCCCCCATACGTCGCCAGGCACATTAATTAAGGGATATGGTAATAACATTGCCACACGCCAGCTAGGCTGAATAAATATAAATGGAGCATATACATATTATACATACATAATACATAATCCATATATACATAATATACATACAATCAGGGGCTGTGTGGACACGAGGCCCTGGTTGATTTGTGGCCCCTTGAGTTGGGCTCCGAGGGTTACATTTGACCTGGCTAATGTGAGGTCAGGTCCGGCCTTTGTTCAGAGAGTAGGTTATTGTATATTGGAAGAGAGTCGGCTGGTGCCTTCTTACATGTCTGTTGTGGTGACATGTCACATGGGAGGGGAGCTAGTTGATTTGTAACCCCCGGTCCACCGTGAGAGCCACCCTACACTTTTGACCTGGCTAATGTCGGGTCAAGTCTGGCTTTCCTCGCGATGTAAGCTGTGGTCTGACAACCCCTCACTACACTTCACCATATCCCTTCCCTCTCCTTCCTTCACCATATTCCTTCCCTCTCCTTCCTTCACCATATCCCTTCCCTCTCCTTCCTTCACCATATTCCTTCCCTCTCCTTCCTTCACCATATCCCTTCCCTCTCCTTCCTTCACCCCATCCCTTCCCTCTCCTTCCTTCACCCCATCCCTTCCCTCTCCTTCCTTCACCATATCCCTTCCCTCTCCTTCCTTCACCATATCCCTTCCCTCTCCTTCCTTCACCATATCCCTTCCCTCTCCTTCACCATTCCTTCCCCTCTCCTTCCTTCACCCCATTCCTTCCCTCCTTCCTTCACCATATCCTCTCCCTCTCCTTTCCTTCACCATATCCCTTCCTCTCCTTCCTTCACCATATCCCTTCCCTCTCCTTCCTTCACCATATCCCTTCCCTCTCCTTCCTTCACCATATCCCTTCCCTCTCCTTCCTTCACCATATCCCTTCCCTCTCCTTCCTTCACTATATCCCTTCCCTCTCCTTCCTTCACCATATCCCTTCCCTCTCTTTCCTTCACCCCATTCCTTCCCTCTCCTTCCTTCACCATATCCCTAACCCCCATAGGTTGATTTAGGTGAACATTAACCACCCTATCGCTTTCTTAGGACGTTAGTGTTAGGTTAAGGTTAGGTTAGGTTAGGTTAGGTTAGGTTAGGTTAGGTTAAGGTTAGATTAGGTTTGTGCTTAATCTTAAGATAGAATATGATTAGGGTGATCCCAGTGCCATCGTATATTTTGACATTTCCTGTTCGTCTTATCTCACAATGATTACAGTAAACACACCAAGAGAGAGAGAGAGAGAGAGAGGGAGAGAGAGAGAGAGAGAGAGAGAGAGAGATTCACTGTACGGACACAGAGGAATAATTATAATGGTCCTCCCTTTCAGTCTGCTTGGTATAGAGCTGATTAAGTGTTTAGTGAATCATGAGTCCAGCTCCTCAACAAATCACACGTAAGTAGTTGTTTTTCTCTCTTGGATTAATGTGTGTGTGTGTGTAATAATAATAATAATAATAATAATAATAATAATAATAATTAACGGTTTATTGAAAGAGCTTGGCAGCCAGAAGGCTGAAAATATACAGTTACATATTTGGGGAATGGGTTACGAAATACAAATAATATACAAGTAACATAAGTGACACAAGTAAGACATATAATAACTAGATGGGGAAAAGCTCAAACTACAGTTCATTTCAACATAGTGACAGTGCAAGGAGTGTGTGTGTGTGTGTGTGTGTGTGTGTGTGTGTGTGTGTGTGTGTGTGTGTGTCCCCCCCCCCCTTCACTACAACCAGCTTAAAACAGTCAAAATGCACAGAAAACAAAAAATACACATAAAATAACAGCTGACTCGGGATAGCGTTACTGCAATCCTATTCCCCGCTAGAACTGAGACCACGAAAAGTCTTATGAAATGTAAACAATATTTGAGAAACTTGTTATTTTCTTAATTATATTTTATTTTTTATTTTATATAAACGATTTTCTTGCTTAACTATCATAAATTCGTAATATATCTCACTAAACTTTAAATAATACCTAAAATAATTCTCGGACATATTTTAAACTAATTGTTGGTGGTGGTTCAAGGATAATGACCTGGTAACTCGGCAGCCTGACTACAGAGCGAGTGTTGGGTACTGTGCTTTTTTTTATCGTCTATTTTTACTGTTCTATTCTGAGTGTATTGAAGGCAGGGTAGAGAGACGTGCTGTACAATTTCTCTCTCTCTCTCTTTAGCCTTCCTTCCTTCCTTCCCTTCCTTCCTTCCTTCCTTTTCTCCTTTCCTTCTATCTCTCTGCCGTCTGTCCTTCCTCCCTCCCTTCTCCTATCCTCCCTCCCTCTCTCCCTCCTTCCGTCCTTCCTTCCCTCCCTCCCTCCTTCCTTCCTTTCTTCTCTCCCTCCCTCCTTCCCTCCTCTCCCCCTTCTACAATTTTTACCACACCATTCCCTCCTTTATTCCTTACACTTCTATACCAACCATTACCCATTCCCCATTCACTACTAACCATTAACAACCAAACTACCAATTAAGTAACACTCCTTCGCAACCAAATTACCCATTACGTAACACCATCCCTATCACTCATCACCCAACAACCCGTTATAACCACACACCCTTCACCACACACCCTTCACCACACCCACCTCCGCCATCCATCGTTCGACAATACACGTTATCAGTCCACCACATCCGGATCTGATTGCCTGCAAGATAACCGCGATAACGCATATACGTCTTTGAGTCTTATCTAAACTTCTCCAGTAACCCTCAACAGGTATATCATTAGTCCCTCATGTTTCACCTGTATGACGTCACTTCCTCTATATGTAGCGGGGGTGGGGGCAGGTGTGTGTGTGTGTGTGTGTGTGTGTGTGTGTGTGTGTGAGTGTTTTATTTTACCATATAGTGTTCAGTTATAACCCTTTATATTATAGTTTTGTCTTATATAAACAATAATATCTAGGAAAGACTAAATGAATGTAGGAAAACAATGATGACGTCAGAGGAGAAGAAAAACGACAATAATGACAGAATATTTAAGCATCATGAGTAAAGACAAATCAATTCGGCATTCGCTTGTCTGGTAGTGACGTCACCATTTCTTTTGCCACCTATTAGTGAACTTTCACCGGTGACGTCACGGGCCAGGAGTTCCATGATTGGCTTAAATTATCGTGACGCGCTTATTCCTCAACTTCCGTACCAATGAGCGCGGGAGGTTCCGTTGGGCCAGTCTCAATCGACACAGTACACCGCCACTCGTTGCGGAGGTTAAGAGGTGAAGGGCTGTTGTCTTGTCTGGTAACAACAAGAGGCATTAATGGTGGCCAGTGAACGAGGAGAAGGACCATAACGTCAAGAATATAGTGTCATACAGGCCAGAACCACTCAAGATTAACGCCAGTGCCATAAAAACGTGTTTGTTGACGCAGTGTGGATGTGACGTCACGACGCTGCACTGCTCAGGTGAGGTAGAGGGAGGAGGAGGAGGAGGGGGGAAGAGGAATGCGTGTGAGGGGTGGAAGATGTACTGTGAGATAAAAAGGGAATGAGGGAGAGAGATGGCGATAAGAGGTATATGGAACAGAAGCGAGTATAAGGTAGAGTGGGAGGATGAGAGGTGTATAGAGTGGGAGGATGAGAGGTGTATAGAGTGGGAGGATGAGAGGTGTATAGAGTGGGAGGATGAGAGGTGTATAGAGTGGGAGGATGAGAGGTGTATAGAGTGGGAGGATGAGAGGTGTATAGAGTGGGAGGATGAGAGATGTATAGTCTACGTGAGGGAGTGGGAACGTGAGAGAAGGAAGTGAGAGGTGAGAGACTGCCACGTGAGGACAATGCAGTACTCTGATAGGGGAACTAGGTCACCCGTATAAGATCTTGACTACTGATTACAGGTGTTGGGTCAGGTATATATGGGGGGGGGGGAAGGTATTGTAAGCCAGTCCGTGTGTGTGGTGGTTAGGTTAGGTTAGGTTAGGTTAGGTTAATTTAGGTTAGGTTAGGTTGGCTTAGGTTAGGTTACATCAGCTTATGCTAATTCTTGTCGACTATTTTCACATTTAATATCTATAAGAAATACTGAAGCTTACATTGAGTACTTTATGACGTACAGAGGGAGCATTACAGTGGCTTAATGGCTGAAGCAAACGGATAATATAAATACTTTTTTATATCTCTGAAATTCACGCCGACAGGATCATATTCACGCCGACAGGATCATATTCACGCCGATAAGATCATAATTCATCACAGGTGTTAAGTGACTGAAGATATGAGGGTTGAAACATCGTACTAAAGTGGTTGAACACGTGTTATTGAAGGGGTTAAATCATCGTACTCCAGGGGATAAATCATCGTACTCAAGGGGCTAAATCATCGTACTCATGGGGCTAAATCATCGTACTCATGGGTCTAAATAATCGTACTCAAGGGGCTAAATCATCGTACTCAAGGGGCTAAATCATCGTACTCAAGGGGCTAAATCATCGTACTCATGGGGCTAAATCATTGTGCTCATGGGGCTAAATCATCGCCAGGTCAGTAAACTGTTTCAATTCTATTCAATTCAATTCAATTCAATTCAATTCAATTCAATTCCTAATAATGAGAGACGCAACACAACACTGTACTCACTTAAACTCATGACTCGCTGGTGTATATTTCACCCTTAAGTAATTCACCCACACCTAACCTAACCAAACCTAACCTAACCAAGTAGGTAGTGGGCAGCTATCAAACAGGGAGGTACTATCGCCTGGGAAGATATTGGAATTTCTGTATACGTTCTGCCTCATTTACACACAATTGCAGGGTTTCAATTGTTTCTCTTACTATTGACAACACAACATACATGTGGTATATTATTTCTCATTCTTGATTTTTTTTTGCCGATTTGTAATTATTTATGGTTATTATTATTTTTTTAACTTTTGCTTTATATTATTATTATTATTATTATTATTATTATCATTATTATCATTATTATTATTATTATTATTATTATTATTATTATTATTATTATTATTATTATATTTTCGCCCCCCAGGCCATAATGTGGGTCAGTGGCCTGTGATCGGGTGGGCTAATCCCCGTAAAAAAAAAGAAAAAAAAAAGCCTAACCTAACATAAGGTAATCCAGTTAATGTATGCAAGTCCTTAATTCCTGATTGGTCGAGACGAGACATACAGTATAGTGTCTCCGAGAGCTTGATTGGCTACCACCATCACGTGTTATGCTGTAGCTGTTTCCTCGCTGTCAGATGTACAGTAAACTTTAGTCGTCGGAGTAGGCTACATCACTTGATAAACTACAGTACGTCAGGTCAGGCAACATCACTTGATAAACTACAGTACGTCAGGTCAGGCAACATCACATGATAAACTACGTCGTCAGGTCAGGCAACATCACATGATAAACTACGTTGTCAGGTCAGGCAACATCACTTGATAAACTACAGTACGTCAGGTCAGGCAACATCACATGATAAACTACGTCGTCAGGTCAGGCAACATCACATGATAAACTACGTTGTCAGGTCAGGCTACATCACTTGATAAACTACGTCGGCGGGTCAGGCAACATCACTTGATAAACTACAGTACGTCAGGTCAGGCAACATCACATGATAAACTACGTCGTCAGGTCAGGCAACATCACATGATAAACTACGTCGTCAGGTCAGGCAACATCACTTGATAAACTACAGTACGTCAGGTCAGGCAACATCACGCGATAAACTACGTCGTCAGGTCAGGCAACATCACATGATAAACTTCGTCGTCAGGTCAGGCAATAAACTACAGTACGCCAGGTCAGGCAACATCACGCGATAAACTACGTCGTCAGGTCAGGCAACATCGGATAAACTACAGTACGTCAGGTCAGCAACATCACATGATAAACTACGTCGTCAGGTCAGGCAACATCACATGATAAACTACCGTCGTCAGGTCAGCAACATTACATGATAAACTACAGTACGTCAGGTCAGGCAACATCACTTGATAAACTTCGTCCTTCAGGTCAGGCAACATCACTTGATAAACTTCGTCGTCAGGTCAGGCAGCATCACTTGATAAACTACAGTACGTCAGGTCAGGCAACATCACATAAACTTCGTCGTCAGGTCAGGCAACATACGATAAACTACGTCGTCAGGTCAGGCAAATCACGCGATAAACTACGTCGTCAGGTCAGGCAAAATCATGATAAACTACGTTGTCAGGTCAGGCAACATCACTTTATAAACTACAGTACGTCAGGTCAGGCAACATCACTTGATAAACTACGTCGTCAGGTCAGGCAAAATCACGCGATAAACTACGTCGTCAGGTCAGGCAACATCACATGATAAACTACGTCATCAGGTCAGGCAACATCACATGATAAACTATGTCGTCAGGTCAGGCAACATCACATGATAAACTACGTCGTCAGGTCAGGCAACATCACATGATAAACTACAGTACGTCAGGTCAGGCAACATCACATGATAAACTACGTCGTTAGGTCAGGCAACATCACATGATAAACTACAGTACGTCAGGTCAGGCAACATCACATGATAAACTACGTCGTCAGGTCAGGCAACATCACATGATAAACTACAGTACGTCAGGTCAGGCAACATCACATGATAAACTACGTCGTTAGGTCAGGCGTGTTGTCAATGATCGCAATATACTTACGCTCTCAGCTTACCCAAGTGTCACTATTATATTATTCAACCTTTTTTCTGTAGGTTAGGTTAGACTTGTTTAGACTAGGTTAATTTATTCTAGGTTAGGTTAGGTTAGGTTAGGTTAGGTTAGCTGAGGTTAGGTTAGGTGGGGTGGGAAGGGGTGGGGTTTGATCAATAGCCACAACACAGGATTAGGTATAAGAATGTGCCTAGAAAACACAAGTAAGGTTGCCGGAAGTGATAATCTTACTTCTCTCAGTGTCGATTCCATACTTGTGGTGACTTTGCAATGATGAATGACAAGAGGGTTTCCAAAGACAACAGGACCATGATCAAACCACCCCCCCCCCCTCTCTCTCTTTCTTTCGTTCTTTCTTTCGTTCTTTCTTTCTCAGTCCCCTAAGTGATATAATAACATACCCTTAGGTGGGGGGTGGCCTCTGATAACTGTCTCTAGCTTCAATACTAATACGAGTACATGAGGTATAATTGGATTCTACTTAATATAGCAAGCTTAACTTATATGACTGACTACTAAGCTCTGGGTATACTAGGCGGAGGGGGGGGGTCTCCTAGTCTATATTTACTATTAGGTGACGGGGTGGGTGGTTGGTAGTGGGTGAGATAGTGGTCAGGTTGAGTTGGTTGAGAAAGTGTGAGTGGGTGTAGTGGTAAGTGATGGCTGCATTGGATGAGTAGTGGGTGGAATAACAAGATGATAAATGATAGACATGACAGAATATACCATAACCCATGAGGAATAAAACGACCAATAACACCTTAAACGACATCAAGAAAGAGACGAGAAAGATAGATCTGACTTTGAAGGACAAGATAGTATAAAACTAAGTAACTAAACATGAGATAAACATGACATAAAATAATTTGATGACATCTCTAGTGGCATCATCACGACTTGTTACCTAGGGTCAATGTCATCAAGGGTTACATAAGTATTACTTGAGGGTTTTATTACATCAAGGTGTTAAGTGGTAGGGTTTAACGGCACTTATCTGCATTGCCTTAACACCTGAGGCTTATTAGATGTTTAGGGGATCTACTGTGATGTGATAAATATAGCCTATGTTTTTTTATTTACTATACAGAAATAATAATAACCTCGCCTCATATCATAAATAAGTTACGTATTTTTCTTAGTTTGAATTATTCCCCATCTACATAACATTCTACACCTGTTGTCTAAGACGTTCCAAATCTACTCTTTCAGGTGTGTAATAAAGGGAGACGGAAACGCGAAGGTGACTCTTGAAATTTCGAACCTTGTCAAGAAGTTCGAACCCTGGAACGACGAAGATTCAATCCTACAGAACAAACTTTGAACACTGAATATCATCCTTTGGAAAAACAAGTCGAATATAAAGGAAGTGTGATAAACAGGAAGTGACGTAGACTTCGTAAATATAAAGATAAACAAACTTTCGAAACATGACAGGAGTTGATAAATTGTGTTTAGTGTCTCAATTAGCCTTGATGACGTAAGCCTCCGGTAGATTCCCTGTTTGAGGGTCACCTTCACCAAGTCAAGGTGACGCTGCCGTTTCCAACCCACCCCATCCCTCTCCCAGATAACAGGACGCCCGTAAGTTGACTCTCTCGCCAGTCGTCAGCTGAAGGTCTAGGTGGAAGGTTGTCTCTCGTGGTCGCTCCAGCCGTCTCGTGAAGGGTCGTCCGAGCCATCTAAGAGTCCTTTGTAAGGCTTCCAAACGTTACGTGCTACACCTCCATTCGCCCAGACGTTTAGTTAGGATTATCAACCAACCAATTAGATTCCACGGCTATCTCCAACCTACCAATCACTGGCCACGCTATATCTAAGCAACCAACCACCTTCCAGGAAGAATATTTTGCCAACCAATTCCCACCCAGACATGGTATCTAATCTATCAATGACGTCTTAAGAAATATTGCACACCTAACCTACCAGTTACCTCCAGAGAGTACATCCAGTTAACCAATCACCTTTCAGAAAGAGACTCTAACCAACCAATCATAAAGTATATCTAACTAACCACTATCAATATGATGATGGTAAGGACAGACTGCAATAATTAATGATAAATTAGACGCACAGACATCGGTGATCATAGTTTTGGTGACTCGTACGATTAGAAAAACACACAGATGGTGATTGTTACTTGGTGACATAAAAAAAGAAATTCACTGACCTTGGTGATAATTTGGTGACTTCAACGCGCATAAAAAAACAAATTGGTGACTTTTTGGTGTTTTATGAATAACAACTATATCTTGGTGACGCACAAAGACTCACTGATAGAAACTTGGTGATTTGTTGAAGTAAGAAAGAAAATCTATCACCAAGAGAAACAAAAATGGCGATGGTGACTGAAACCGCTGAGACGTCGACCATAGACTTAACTACAATGGACATGACCAACCTGACTCTAATCACCTCCCTAACGTGTACACAAGAGGTCCTCGACTTCGAACCCTCGTGTCTACAGTTCCTTGACGGTAAGTAGCTCCTCAGCCAATTGTTCCGTAGATTCTATCAAACATTTCTTACCTTCCATAATAACTTTCTTTTTGCTTCTCTTATTTCATGTTTTTTTATTATTATTATTTATGACTTTGTTAATAATCTCGTTTTCTGTAAATTAAGAATGAAATCGTTTTAGTTTTCCTTTTATTGTCGCGGGGGAAGATATAGGAGGTGGGGGGGGGGTATTAAATTCAGTCCTGTATACAGTATGTGTTTGTCTGTTATGTTAAAGTATATATACGTTATATATTTAGGTTATATCAATAGCCATAGTTTTGATAGTTTGAAATGCCCGAATAGAAATATTTAACTCCATTGATAAGTATTGTGTATTGAACTTAAAACACCTTTATGTATTTTATCTAATATATATATACACACACACACACACACACATATATAATTTTTATTTATTTTTAGTACTTTAACAATGAATAATAAAGGGGGGGGGGGAAGTAAGTTGACCCATGTAATAATTTAATATAAATATTTTTTTGTGAACAAGAAAAATATCGTTGTAATGGAATGAGTTTAAATGTTTACAACCAAGGGGGTAAAAATCATCGTACTCAAAGGGGGTTAAATTATCGTACTCAAAGGGGGTTAAATTATCGTACTCAAAGGGGGTTAAATTATCGTACTCAAATGGATTAACTTATCATACATAAGGGGGTTAAATCATCGTATTTAAGGGAGGGTTAAATCATCGTATTTAAGGGAGGGTTAAATCATTGTATTTAAGGGAGGGTTAAATCATCGTATTTAAGGGAGGGTTAAATCATATTTAAGGGAGGGTTAAATCATCGTATTTAAGGGAGGGTTAACTCATCATATTTAAGGGAGGGTTAAATCATCATAAAAAAGGGAGGGTAAAATCATCGTGTTTAAGGGAGGGTTAACTCGTCATATTTAAGGGAGGGTTAACTCATCATATTTAAGGGAGGGTTAAATCATCATATTTAAGGGAGGGTTAAATCATCGTATTTAAGGGAGGGTTAAATCATCATATTTAAGGGAGGGTTAAATCATCGTATTTAAGGGAGGGTTAAATCATCGTATTTAAGGGAGGGTTAACATCATCATATTTAAGGGAGGGTTAAATCATCATTAAATCATATTTTAAGGGAGGGTTAAATCATCATATTTAAGGGAGGGTTAAATCATCGTATTTAAGGGAGGATTAAATCATCATATTTAAGGGAGGGTTAAATCATCGTATTTAAGGGAGGGTTAAATCATCGTATTTAAGGGAGGGTTAACTCATCATATTTAAGGGAGGGTTAACTCATCATATTTAAGGGAGGGTTAAATCATCATATTTAAGGGAGGGTTAAATCATCGTATTTAAGGGAGGGTTAACTCATCATATTTAAGGGAGGGTTAAATCATCATATTTAAGGGAGGGTTAAATCATCATATTTAAGGGAGGGTTAAATCATCGTATTTAAGGGAGGGTTAAATCATCATATTTAAGGGAGGGTTAAATCATCATATTTAAGGGAGGGTTAAATCATCATATTTAAGGGAGGGTTAAATCATCGTATTTAAGGGAGGGTTAAATCATCATATTTAAGGGAGGGTTAACTCATCATATTTAAGGGAGGGTTAAATCATCGTATTTAAGGGAGGGTTAACTCATCATATTAAAGGGAGGGTTAAATCATCATATTTAAGGGAGGGTTAACTCATCATATTTATGGGAGGGTTAAATCATCGTATTTAACAAGTGTTCAGGAGGAAATATACCAGACTGCTACATGCCCTGAGCTCTTTCTACCACACGCTGTCATTGCATTACTCACTCACACGCCGATAATGTACGTACTCTATAAGGTACACAGAGTAATGCTACACAAGGTTGTATGTAAATGGTTATGTTTATTGACACTATATATGTGTTAGAATGTATATCACCAGAGATCTTGGGGAGTGTGTGTGTGTGTGTGTGTGTGTGTGTGTGTCTGTAATGACCTGTGGTGTAATGGTCAGCACGCTAGCTTCGCAAGCGAGCAGACGCGGGTTCGATCCAGGGCAGGGTGAAACTATGGGCAATTCTTTACGCCATTTGCCTCTGTCTACCCAGTAGTAATTGGGAACCTGGATGTTAAGGGATTGTATTCTGAGGTAATGGTTAGCCAGTGCAGTTGACGAGTTGTCCGGTCTTCTCGGACTATTCCTTGACACTGGGTCATGCAGCTCGTTAACTCAGGGTGTGGTTGTTGTGTTGGCGACAGCTTCTACACCTTAAGCAAATCACGCCTAGGTGGCGCTTGGGCCGGCCATCCTCGTTACACAAGGAGCAACCATTATGATGACCAGCCTTTGTTGCACATTACCCTCACAAGACCACCTAATTGGAGGGTCTTGTCAGCCTTGAATAAGATGACCCCTTCCTTCTTCTTCTTGTTATTATAGGGGTAGTGGGGTTAGGTTAGGTTATGTCTTGAAGAGTGTTGGTAGCGTCTCTCTCTTTCTCTCTTCACCAGTTCAGTAAGTCTCCTTTGTTCTTATTTTCTCCCTCCTTCCCTTTTTCCCTTCTCTCTTCTCTCCCTGTTTCTCTCCCTCCATTCCTCTTCCTTCCCTTCCTCCCTTCTTCCCTCCCTTCTTCCCTCCCTTCTTCCCTCCCTCCCTTCCTCCTTTGGGTGAATGATATCATGGTAAGGAAATAACAGAAGGAAGGAAAATAAAGGACCAAGAAGGTGAAAATGTGCCACTACCACCATTACCACTACTACCACCATCACTACCACCACTACCACCATCACTACCACCACCAATACCATCACTACCACCAATACCACCATTACCACTACTACCACCATCACTACCACAATTGCTACCACCTTTACCACCACTACCACCATCACTACCACCACCAATACCATCACTACCACCAATCACTACCACCACCAATTACCACCAATACCACCATTACCACTACTACCACCATCACTACCACAATTGCTACCACCTTTACCACCACTACCACCATCACTACCTCCACCAATACCATCACTACCACCAATACCACCATTACCACCACTACCACCATCACTACCACCACCAATACCATCACTACCACCAATACCACCATTACCGCCACTACCGCCATCACTACCACCACCAATACCATCACTACCACCAATACCATCACTACCACCAATACCACCATTACCACTACTACCGCAGTCACACACCGGCAACAGACGTACAGGCGCCATCTTCACGTCTTGTTAAACCCGACAAAATTTATTTATCACTGAATTTATTGGTGATAAAACAGATGTGTGTGTGTGTGTGTGTGTGTGTGTGTGTGTGTGTGTTACTGATGACGGCATGGTGATAATCGTAACGTTGACGCATTATTCTGATAACACAGATAGTTCCTTGAATTCATATTATATTTATCGTCCTGACTGACGTGTCATTTCAACTACAAAATTTCCCTGAAAACACATTTTATAATCCCCAGCCACTGCCAAGTGCGTGACCTGACATATATCTGAAGATGCAATACCCGCCTGCTCACTTATTATCCCTCATAACGCTTCAACCATAATTCCCAACCGAGTCAAGACGCTCCTCAAGAAAGCCTGAATAAATGTCTGACTCGGCTCAGTGATGTAGTTGTCGCCAAAATCAGACGTGCTATTTTATGTCATGTTGGGAACTGATGACAAATCCTTCCCTTGCAATTGTGTCGAATTTGTGGCGAAAATATAAAACACGGCCGACCAATTCGCTCCTTATTGTCACTTAACAATACCTCTGCAGATTCATCCTTACTAACTACCAATTTCATGGACACTGTTATATCGAAAAAAAATTACCCTATAAAATACCTGCTCTAGAAACTATCACTTTTACTTCTCATTCTTATACCCACTACCAGTCAACTTGGAGTGCTGCTACCCTACGAGACGAGGGTGCATGTAATAACAGCGTTTTATCTTTCACAGTTTGTTAAATGTTGTTAGTATAATTACCAGCCTTGTTACGCGCCGGCTATTGGTCAAGGCTACTGGTCAAGGCTATTGGTCAAGGCTACTGTTACGTCACTGGTCAAGAGGTCCTCCACGACCCCTCATAGCCCGTGACCACCACCACCACACCCTCCCTATCTCCATCACCTCCACCACTACCACCACTATCTTCCCTCCACCATTACTTTCCTTCCACCCTCCACCTCTACTAATCCTCCAACCCCCAATCACCACCACTACCAACCTCTCCCCCCCCCACCTTCCACCACTACCACCCTTTCCCTCCACCTCCCTGCCTCAGCCTTTCACTGTGCTGGTGGAGTCGGTGACCGGATAAAACCCCAACGGACAAAACCCCAGTCTCGTATATAAAATATAAAATAAAACACTTTAATGTTTTGTTTAGGTTAGGTTACGTTACGTTAGGTTAGCTTAGGTTAGGTTAGGTTAGGTTAGGTTAGGTTAGGTTAAGTTAGATTAGGTTAGGTTAGGTTAGGTTAGGTTAGGTTAGGTTAGGTTAGGTTAAGTTAGATTAGTGTTGATAAATGACAACCCAGTTGGGGTTTTGTCATGGAACCGGTGGAGTCGATGGTGTAATTTCCCCCTTAAGCTGCAACTCACTGTAAACAAACAGTTAGTTGAGGCGTCAGATCCCGAGAGCCTTTTGTGGTGAGTGTTTCTCGGAACTGAAGCCGAGTCAAAGGAACAAACGGGTTGAACTTCAGGAAAGTTTTTGACTCTTGAACTGATGTAACGTGTGTCCAGTCAAGGAACGTTTGTCAAGACACAGCGCGCCTAATACTGTATTTCCTCTGCAGTGCTGTGATCTAACCCGCGCCAGGGTGTTGCCGTTTCATCATAATTAACTAATGGTTTAATCGTGATTAAAGATTATTTGTGTTGATAAAAACTCGCGACACGAGTGTTTAAGAAATAATGTCTGAGCGGGTGTTTGTGACTGGGTGAGGCGAGTCATGGCGGGTCATAAG